AAAAAAAAAAAAAATATAAAAACACACTTACATTAATTTCCAAATCTAATTAAAAACCTCTCTTTATCGTCCCAATTCATTCTAATTAATCACACGATCGAAATCAACGATTCCAAATCATATTAATGTCAATGTTTAACGTCAAAATTACCACGTCAATAATCATTCGTCAGTTTGTTAAAAACTTCGATGCATTAACCCTCAGTAAACTAGAAACTACTTCTTCCTAAAACTTTCCAACACACCCTTTGAAACAACTCGATTGATTTCCAGAATTCTCCCAAGACTTAAAATCTAGAATGCTCTCAGACGATGCTCTAGAGAGGACTAAGGGAAAAGAGAAGAAAAGGAAAGAAGAAAAAAAAAACAAAAAATGGGAGGATAGAAAGCGGCGAGTGGTTTCGAAGACGCGGAAGCAGCTAGGAGGGGAAGAAAGGTGGCGACGGGGGGTGTGTGGAGGGGGATGACGAATGGATTTTTCGTAGCGAGACACCTCCCAGGAGCCGTGGACCTGAAAAGCACCCCTTTTCCTTCGAAACCCGGATCGAAAGCAACGGGATTCCCCTTTGATTTATTGCCGTGGTCTCGCGCTTTACGTTCGAAAAGCAGCGCGACATCTTTCTTTCCAAACGGGTGGACACGACGCGCGTAGATTCTCCACTCCTTGGAAATGCTGTATCCAAGAGTTGCTCGCAGATATTTTCGTGTAGGGGCGGCCCACCACCATTCTTTCGCCGTTCAGAGAGGGAGGGAGGATTAAGTTCGTGATATCTGAAATGTGAATTATTTTGAGAGTGATTAAGATTATTCGTACGGTGTTGTAGATTGATTTCTTTTTTTTTTAATTTGTGATTTGAGAAAGGCTTGATATTAAATTGTATTTTATCTTGATTGAGAGTGGAGCGAGAGGAGGTCGAATCGAATATTTTTTGATCTAACGAGTTTCGTTAAATTGAGAGGAGTTGATGTATTAAGAATAGGATATGACATACTGACAATTAAAAATTGACGAAAATACGCTCGTGTACGAGCAAATCTCACAAACGAATGTAGAGCAGCTTACGCGAGGAGAAGCTTTATTGATTCACTATAGTGATTTTCAAATCTGACACACGAAAAAGAATTTATTTCGTAGGGGGAAAAATCTACGATGTTATACAATATTAGTTATAATCTATGGGTTGAGAAGTATTATATTTCTTGCTTTTTTAGCGGTCAAAAATGGAAAATTTAATTTTTTTACTCTTGATTCTCATTTTATTTTGAAGGATCACTCTTATATTTGTAATAATTGAAAACTTTGTATATATTCTACATAGTAGAATATATACATATGCGTGTAAATTTTTGGATATTATAGAATAAAATAATTGTTATATTATCATTACATAATATAACGATATATTAACTAATATAATAAAATAAAGCAACTAATGAGATGGAAATTAGTTACTAGGCATCTATACAATTGAAATATGGTACATGTTTGGAATTTGAAATATACGATCGATATAATATTAATTACACCGATATTATTAATTTTATCATTGATCTTTTAAAATAATCAATTTATCACTTTCATACATGAAATGTTTCTTTTTATTATAAAAAATGAAATTTAATTTTGCTTTACTTTACAATATACAAAGAGTAAAAAAATTAAATCCTCCGGCCACTTAACAATTATTTTCTTAATCCTTTATAATTATACGATCGAACGAACTTTGTTGATTAATTCTTGAAAGAGGAATAAAATTTTCGCGTCTTTAATTTTCGTTTAATGCCCCAAAACTAAAAACTAAAAAAAGGGTCAGTATTTCGAAAATAGAATGGGAAATTAATTGAAACGTCGCTCGTCATTTAAAATTGGGTCGTTAGTAAAACACGTGAGAGTAAACTGGAAGAATATTAAATATTAAACCTTATTAAAATCTG